TCTTGTTCTGTCGGTCGAGCGTTCAAGTATACGACTGTTAAAGAGAGCAAGTATTCGGTGAAAGAAAGAGAGAAAGTTACGCTCGAACAAAAGCCAAAAAATATATTCTTAACAACAAGAAATGCGGTTAAATATTTAAACAACATTAAAAATAAACTACAACCAACTAGACAATGGTACAGATTTCAAACCATGAAAGAGCTTTTAACTTTGGTTCGTTAGTTTCCGAAATTAGTCCCCACATATTATTAAAAAGACAAACTTAGACATTCCTTTTGTAATACAAGTTTAAAAAGGTTTAATTTACACAAATATTACGCATTAATTTTCAAAACACATTTTTAATGGTTATTTATACTAAAACGAGCCAAAATGTCTTGTTCTGTCGGTCGAGCGTTCAAGTATACGACTGTTAAAGAGAGCAAGTATTCGGTGAAAGAAAGAGAGAAAGTTACGCTCGAACAAAAGCCAAAAAATATATTCTTAACAACAAGAAATGCGTTAAAATATTTAAACAACATTAAAAATAAACTACAACCAACTAGACAATGGTACAGATTTCAAACCATGAAAGAGCTTTTAACTTTGGTTCGTTAGTTTCCGAAATTAGTCCCCACATATTATTAAAAAGACAAACTTAGACATTCCTTTTGTAATACAAGTTTAAAAAGGTTTAATTTACACAAATATTACGCATTAATTTTCAAAACACATTTTTAATGGTTATTTATACTAAAACGAGCCAAAATGTCTTGTTCTGTCGGTCGAGCGTTCAAGCATACGACTGTTAAAGAGAGCAAGTATTCGGTGAAAGAAAGAGAGAAAGTTACGCTCGAACAAAAGCCAAAAAATATATTCTTAACAACAAAAAATGCTTTAAAATATTTAAAACAAATTAAAAATAAACTACAACCACCCCGATAATGGTATAGCTTTCAAACCATGGAAGAGCTTTTAACTTTGGTTCGTTAGTTTCTGAAATTAGCCCCCACATACCATTAAATAGACAAACTAAAAAATTCCCTTTGTAATACAAATTTAGAAAGGTTTAATTTACACAAAGATAATGCATTAATTTTCAAAGCACATTTTTAACGGCTATTTGTACCAAAAGGAGCAAAAATGTATTATTCTGTCGGTCGAACGTTCAAGCACACAACTGTTAAAGAGAGAAAGTATTCGGAGTACGAAAGACAGAAGATTACGCTCGAACAAAAGCCAAAAAATATATTCTTAACAACAAAAGAATACTTTAAAATATCAAAAAAACATTAAAAATAATCTACAACCACCTCGATAAGGGTATAGCTTTGAAACCATGAAAGAGATTTAACTTTGGTTCGTTAGTTTCCGAAATTAGCCCCCCCATACCATTAAAAAGACAAACTAAGAAATTCCCTTTGTAATACAAATTTAGAAAGGTTTAATTAACACAAAGATAATGCATATATTTTCAAAACACATTTTTAATGACTTTTTACACCAAAATTAGTAAAAATGTCTTGTTCTGTCGGTGGAACGTTCAAGCACACAACTGTTAAAGAGAGAAAGTATTCGGAGTACGAAAGACAGAAGGTTACGCTCGAAGTAAAGCAAAGAAATATATTCCTAACAACAAAAAATGCTTTAAAATGTTTAAAAAACATTAAAAATAAGTTACAATCACCCCGATAATGATATACATTTTAAACAATGGAAGAGCTTTAACTTTGGTTTGTTAGTTTCCGAAATTAGCCCCCACATATCACTAAATAGACAAACTAAGGCATTCCCTTTGTAATACGAGTTTGAGAAGTTTAATTTATATAAAATATTAAAACGTGAAAATATCTTCCTCTTTCGGTCTATTGTTAAAAGAAGGGAAGTATTAGGAGAATATAAGATAAAAAACTATTTCTTATAGTAAACAATTTTGTTATATTGAAAAAGATTTAAAAATTGATTGCAATCACCTCTATAATGGTATAGCTTTCAAAAAATAAAAAAGGTTTTAATTTATAGATATTGAAAATACATTATTCCTTATTCTCTTCTCAATTTTACTTTGTAAAAACGGTGCTTGTTTTTCTAATAAAAGAACTTTTTAGCTATAATCGCCTTTGAGAGTCTACACTTGTATTGAAATAGTAAAAATTAATGAAACAATTCATTTCATTTAATTATGCAATTAATCAAAAATTGAGTAGATAATAAAATTTTACTGCGAAAAAGTGCAAAAAACCCGCATTTAACATTCCTCCAGCTACCAGTTAAACGCCAAGACCCGCCTCCCAGCTTCACCACGAACTCTTCGTGATGAAGGATACCTGGGAAGTCGAACTTGACGATTAACCGATGACTGGAACAGTGGTAAATACAGGGGTAATACACCGCCGGACTTACAGTCGCCCGTTTGGCCTATTCCACCTAATAACGCTTTGCTATAGGTACCCTCACTCAGCGTCTAGGCAGTCAACCTACGATCTGCGACCGTATTACCGCTTGAGTGACTAATAAGCTTGCCTTATATATCGTTCAACCGCGAAAAATAGTGGTGAACTGTTACGCTTGTACTACTTTTTTAACCCTATAACATAAAAATATGAATATCGTTCTAAACAAAGTACACTATGATTATACATTTGAAGAGATTCGTAGAAGGAATTTTTAGTTACGCTATTCGAATAGCGTCAGTGTACATATTTCATATAAACTGAATTAATATGCTTAAAATTGTCTACTTGAACTACCTGAACATTAGTAGAATTACTTGAAAAATGTTTCTAATGAAAAAAAAATATTAAAACTGTACCCTATTCGTCAAAATTGTGAAAACATACGAAATTTCAAAAACTCACCGGAAGGTAATTTTTGTTCCACATTATGCACTTATTCAACATAAAAAGAAAATTGCATTGATTTTATCCATTGGTAACACCTTTTCACTTAATAGCAGCAGGTTTTCTCTTTATTAGCAACACTTAATTATAACGAATAAATTGTTTATAAAACCTTAAGAAAACCAGATGTTTTTCACTACTTTCACTGTAACTTTGTATTTATTTTGCTGTCCGAACCGGCAAAAATTTATATTTTTTGGAAAACTATTCACGTAAACATTCTAGCAACCGCTATCATTACACTAAAGTGGAATTTTCCAACTTTATTACGTGTTGGGCCACGGTCGGCAGGAACGAGACAACAAGACTGCTAGCGCCTCTAGAGCCTGAGTACGGAGAGTATTCGAACTACATTGTAGAAAATTTATGCTCGTATTTTCCCATTTCTTTGTTTTAATTCAATTGCAGCTTCTTAATAAAAACATAAATACCTATGACAGGATTGTTATCAATAGATGCAACAAAAAACAAATACGCTATGGAATAAGTATGAATACATTTCCGCAAAACTCGCTCGTTTAATTCATAAAATTGTAGATCAATTTGTAAAAATAATAATCGGACTGTTTAATAATATTAATTTTTAACAAAGGAATTCAATTCTATTCGGAATGTTTATCTTCACACATACACACAAGCATTTTACTTCTTGAGTCAGATTAGGAAAAAAACAGCTACAAGAGATATGTTGGAGGACAAACAGATAATACCTAGGCAGAATTAAATTGTTTTAAGATTACAAACTAGCTAAAATAAAATGTCTTTAAAAACGCAGAAATTAATTGCAGAATTTAGGAACAAAAAAAACAACTGTTTAAATTTATAATTTTTAAAAATTTCTCATCATTCCATAGAAGACTAAATAGTGAATTTCTTTTCTTCGTTTTATAACGTTCCTATATACAAACGAAGAAACGTTATTCTTAAAAAATCTCCAATAAATTTATTACATTTTGAAAATATCAACTTCTTTAATAACCGAAAAATTAATTAAAAAATATTAAAAAGAAGTATCTCAAATAAAGTCAAAACGAAGTTTTTGTTCGCATATTTTAACTATAAAAAGTTTTGTCTACTATAAGCTATCAGATTTCGTACAATAATTGTAATGTATAGTACACGTAGTAAAAATACCCACATTAGACGAAAGCAAAGTGGAAAACATTCATTTAGACCAGCAGTGCAATGAAATCTTAATTGTTTTCTTAGACTACTTATGTACTAAATGAATATGAATAAACTGTTTTATTAAAATTGAAAAAGTTATTGCATACAAATTTTGCCTCACACTGTGAATTTTTACTCGACTTTCATATCGGCAACCCACTATACTCCAATGTATTTTCAACGTCAGTACAATGGCAGTTCGAGAAATTAATAAAGTTTTTAAGGTGAGGGTTGAAGGTACACCTTAGTAATTTCTAACTGCAAAGTTCCTTTCACTGATTCTCTATAACAACTCTAATATATTTTCAGCTACTTTAATAAGAAAGAAATTAATTTATCAAAAAATGAAAACGACTTTTTTAAATTGGGGGTTGAAAGTGTACTCTGATAATTTCCAACAATAAAATTCTATTCACTAATCCCTTGAAACAACTTTAATACATTTTAGCAATTTCAATCCGTTTAATAAGGGATAAATTACTTTATTTTTAGTAATTTAAACTTTCTAAGGTACAACAGTTAAATTTGAAATATTAATATTGTCAATACTAAAGTAACAAGTAAAATAAACAAATTTAGCAAATTGATTAATAACTTTTTTGTAATCATAACGAGTAGTTATTCAAAATTGTTAAATTTTTAGTTATTTTATATAAATCTAGAAACATTAATGCAATACTGTTACAGATTAATTATTCAGACCTTAGGTCTCTTGTTTACTGTTCAGATAGTTTCCATTTCTTTGCCTTATTCAATTGAACGTAAAATCAAAGATAATTTCAGGGTAATAAAGTTTATATTAGGTTTGTGACTTAATAAAAACTTTATTAGACCAAAATTGGTACCGATTTTCACATTCACTTACTTATACGAGTCCAATTTGTACAAAAATAATTATTTTATCTATGTATGCATATTTTAATAAACTATAGTAATATAATTGAAAACACTCACCGTTAAAGCCACAACCAGGAAACCGCACTCTTCCTTCAAGGATGCTGTTCCAATGCAGCTTCAAGAGTCCAAGAAGGAATAAGGAAAAGTTGCTGCAACAAAATAAAACATTACTTTACAAATTCCATAAGTATGTAAATATATAATTAAAAAGCCTATTTATGACAACTATTACCTGATGAGCCTCAATAATATCAGTCAATGGTTAATAATACAACTAAAATTACCAGTGATAACTAAACTATTAGAGAAAAATAAATAGTCAATTAATGCAAAATGGATCGAATTAATAATAAAATGACTCACCATATGAAACAATAGGGATAACAATTCCTCCACAACAGTTGATATGTACACTTCGCACAGTCAAAGGTACTCATTGGAGAATTACTGCAGAATTGATGTTAAAATATTCTTTGGGTAGAATGATTTCATTGTAGGTGATTTCTTGTTCTAGTGGGACCGAAATAAAATTATAATTGGGCAAGAAAAATGAATTCACTAAACTATTTATGAACTAATACATGAAATAAGCTAAAAGCCTACTGAAAAACGAGTTTGATAGTACAACTGGTTGGAAATAGCAATGGAATGTTCATGTTTTTGTCAGATTTCTGTTAAAAAAAATTTTTTTTACAATGAATTATATGCAACCAAACATACACAGCTGTAGATTGATCTGTATACTGCTAATTAATTAATAATTGTAATAAATTTTTTTTTGCGTAGATACAGGATAATGAGTCTATGTTAATTTTTTGTCTATTATTGTAGTATTATTGCTGTTGTCGGCCATTATACATTTCTCATTGTTAGCGTATTGTTGCCAATGTCAGCCATTTTAGTTTTCAATTGTTGATGTATTGTTGTCGGTGTCGGCCATTATACTTTTTAATTGTTAACGTATTGTTGCCGATGGCGGCCATTATACTTTTTAATTGTTGACGTATTGTTGTTGATGTCGGCCATCATCGTTTCTTAACTGCTGTAAATCGCGCCTTTTCGTTTTTGTAATGTATAATATATAATGTGCAATATCAATAATGTATTTCTAATTTAAAATTATGTGTAAATAAATAGCCTGTTGGTACCTATGTGAAATCTTTTTAAATGATTTAGAATCAAAGTCAACTTGTTTTGTTTTCAACAAAACATGTATAATTACTATAACGATTCAGGCAATTTCTTCTAATTCTTTTAATCAATAAAAAAGTAAACAATAATAAACAGCCCAATTTCCCACATAAAGCTAACAAAGTTTTTTGTCCGCATTTTTAACTATAAATAACTTTCTTTATCAGAATTCGTTTAAAAGATCGTAATGTACAATACACATCGTAAAAGTACTCAGCTTAGACAAATATCCAAAACAACACATTTATTTACATCAATAATGTTAAAGAAATCGTAATTATTTTCTTAAGAGCGCATACGTACCACATAAATTTAAATACTTTATTTTATATTATTAAAATATGCAGAAAAAGTTATTGTTTATAAATTTCGACTCATACTGTAATTTTAAATATTCTTCATCCTCCATATCGGCAACCCAACGTACTGTACCGTCAGTAGAGTTGCATTTCACGATTCATTTAATTTTAATTTTCAATACATTTTTTGTACCTTCAGCTCGTTTTATAGGGGAGAAATTAATTTATAACAATATATAAAGACGTTTTCAGATTAGGGATTGAAAGTATACCTTAGTCAATTTTAAGTCCAAAATTCTTTTCAGTAATCCTTTACTTTAAACTTTAAAACATTTTGATACTTTTAGCTCATTTAAAAAGGTAAATATTAATGTTATACAGAGATAGATGTTGATGTTCTTAGAAAAGTATAACATTGCAGATAATTAAGTTCTTAGTCAAAACAAGGGTTGAAAAACTCACCAGCCTGTTATGTAATTCCTTTCAGTTGAGAGCCCTTTACTTTTACTGCTCTTAGATTCTTTGATGTATGTTACGCATATGTCAAGCCTGTTTTCTGCTTTATTCTTCAAAGAAGGCATTCTGCATTCTGTAATTCTGAAAATAAGAAAATTCAGTAAATAACGCAATTCAGATACAAAACTACAGCATTCCCACCTGTTTGTTTTGTAGTAGAAGCTGTAGAACAAATGATAAATAATTGTTGAGTAGAGAAAAATTAAAATATATTATTACATCAAATTTTACAAACAATTTACAGTTATCTCACTACATGTTTACCTGTTGTATTAATCGATTGTGGAAGTGGTGAGAGGGTTTTCTATTTAATGTGTAAAATCTATATACTTAGTGTGTAAGAAATCCCTGCTGTGTCTACCTGGTTGGATCTCATAAGGAGGTTGTACGTTGCACTTGCACAAGGAAATTAAAACTTCAATAAGCGGTTCCACACATTTAACAGCAACAGTTTTGAAGAAATTATATTCTCTAAGAATATTATAATATTTTTAACGGTTTTTCATATAATTACGTTGACAGCTGTTTTCATAAATAAGGTTATTTTGCTCGCAATAATTTAAAAGGTGCGCTGGGCGCCCTCTTTTGATGTTGCCTTTAACCACTGTGGTAGTTGTTACCATAGAGAAAAAGGAGCTACATGAACATTGTTTAAAAAGTGTAGTTTTTTAGAGTTTTTAAAATTTTGTGAACTAATATTAAACAGGCAAAAAAAAATAAATACGTAAGCCCACATAAAGTCTTTTAAAAGGATTTTCAAAATTTAAAAGGTATTGTTATGCACGCTTAGACTTAGCGTTTATAGTGCCACTATTTGAAGAATTTGCCGCCCATCATTGAAGTATCCTCACACATCTATGAATTTAACATAACCTTAATTTTTAATTGTAAATGAAAATAAGTTTTTTAAAATAAACATGAATTAATAATTAATTAATTATCTAAGAAATCATGAAAGGTCTTGCTTACAAACAATCTTCCGACTCAATTGCTCAAACATTTTGCAACGAAAGTAATTCCAGAGAAAATGTAATAAGGAGTGAGGAAAATACATTAAATTGTTCAAAGGGGGCCACTTCACACAAGAATAAAGAACCAAAGGAAGTTGTTTCACCCATTGAAACAGGTACTTCTCATTCAATACTAAATATATTGTAGAAGAAAATATAATTGAAAGTATTCAAAGTAAATGATGCTATTTTAGATGATGAAGATGCTAAGAGCAAGGGGTCAAATGTAGTTAATGTTTTTCAATTTATGATGGATAACAGACATAAAGTCATTGGTAGGAATTCTCCTGGAAAAGAAGCTGTAGACAATAACGAGGAAGATGTAGAGCAAAATAAAAAGAAGTTGGCTGCACGAAAGGCTTTACTTCATAAATGGGCTGCATCTAAAGGAACAAGCAAAAGGAAAAATGAGGAACTGGAAAGAGATCAGTTTATTTCATATACATTAGATGAAAGAGCTAAAAGAATGAAAAAACTTTTAACACAAAATAGTAAGAAATGTGTTAATGTAGCTAGTGAAATTGATAATGACTTTGAAAATGACAAAAATGTATGCAAAAGGCGCGAAGACAAAAACAGAAGTGAAAAATATGACAAAAAGTGCACTAGTGAAAATAAAAAATTAGGTAGAAAAGTCAAAGAAAACCAGAAAGAAGGAAAAAAAGAGAAACTTATTAGTGTTTTAGGTAATTTGAAGAGTGAAAATTGTGAAAAAAAAGGCAGTTGTGTTGAAGATAGAGTAACAGAGGCTCCTCTTGACAAAAATTTATCAAAGGGTAATAAAAGTAGTAAGAGTAAAATAAATAATTCTAAATCCCAAAAAAACTGGACAATGAAGTTAAGATTAAATATAGAAGAAATCAATCATTCAAGCTCAGAAAAATCAATTACATCAAAAGAAAAAGAATGTGTTATGTTGTCTTCTAATTCAGAGTCAGAAAATGAGCAACAAGAGACGTTGAAAAAAGATTTGAAACTTGCACCATTATTTGTTAAAACATCCAAAAGGAATGTGGATAAGGCAGCTTTAAAAGCACGGAAGGAGTTTTTAAATAGTGGTCTTCCACCGTCTTTACTTAAGAAGAAAACTTTAGAGAATCAGAAACGGTATGTTTACTTCTTAAACTTAGTTATTTTAACCGATTGTCTTGTATTAACCAATTTAATTTTTCAGTAATTTGGAAGAAGATTATGTCATGTTTCCAGTGATATCTCACGTTCGTCCAAAACAAACAGAAGGAGGATTAAGAAACTGTTCCATTAATTTTTGGGATTTACCTGAAATTAAACTACCTTTCATTGAAAATAGTTGCGATAATGTTTTCATTACAAATTTGGAAGAATTAGGATCGATAACAAAATCGAAATATCCCCCAAGAGAATTTTTCTCTAAAGTATCATTTGACAAAGTAACAAGGTTTAAAAAAATAGTTAAAGACATCAAGAACAGCAATCCTGACTATCCTGTATATAAGGCGTTCAAAATTCTAAAACAAAAACGTTTAGGTTTGATAAAATCAGAATTAGAAAGCGAAATTTCAAAAAAAAGTAAAAAAAAAGGCAGAAAAAGAAAAAAGGAAGCCAGAATGACTCACCAAAATATACCTGATTCGTTAACATGGGTTGAAAAATACAAACCATCATCTTTTAATGATATATTTGGCAATATTTCAAGTGCAACTGAACTAAAGAAGTGGTTAAATCAATGGGTAGTCTTTAAAAAGGAAATAAACGCACAGAAAATAGGTCGAAAAAGGAGTGATTCTACAAGCAGTTCGGAATTTGACATGGCCGACGGTAACAGTATAGATAATACTTTACCAGGAAACGGCATGATATTAGTGGGTCCCCATGGTTCTGGGAAGACTGCTTCATTATATGCAATTTGTAACGAATTAGACATAAACGTCTTGGAATTAAACGCTTCTAGTAAGCGAACGGGTAAAATACGAGTTCTTGGTTGTATTTTTACTAAATGATTAATTCCTTTTTATAATTTCTTTAGGTAAACGTTTACTGCAAGAAATCCAGGAGGCAACTCAGTCCCATCAGGTCCGAAAGGCCCAAGAAAAGTCCAATTCCATAAGCTCTTTCTTCCAACCAGATTACCCATCATCTTCTTCTGACGAAAGTAATAATTTCAAATCAAAAATGTGTCTTCTTCTTGTAGAAGACGTCGATCTAGTCTTTGAACAGGACGAGGGCTTTCTGAGTGCTTTATCTCAAATTTTGCTCGTCAGTAAACGTCCCGTGGTAATGACCACTGCTGACCCTACGTGCCTTCACCTTCAAAAATTTACTGCACAGCATCAAGCTATTGTATTTGCTCCTATGTCTTCCAAGACCCTCGGGGTATGGTTACAGATGGTTTGCCTAGTCGAGGGATATTTTGTTAAAAAGGAGTCGCTGTGCAATCTTCTGGAGTTTAATAATGGCGATGCAAGAAAAACATTGTTACAATTAGAGTACTGGGTAACAAGTGGAGGAAACATCGATGGAAAATACGAAACAACTAACGAGAAATGTGATGAATTTTTATCCATTGACGAAGGTTCTAACGATTCGTGTTTTAAATTTGAAAAGGAAGAAGAGGACGCCGAGAGGGACGTAGAAACGCACGCAAATTGTACTGAATATTTTGCTTCAAAAGTTGAAGGTAATGAACTGTGGTGGAATTTATACGAAGCCCTGGGAAGCTCAAAGACTGAGATGAAGTCTGCGTTGAGATTTTTGGACTCTATATCGTTGTTATCCAGCGGTTCCCTGGGTCGCGCCTGTATCAGGAATAGAAGGGAACTTACTTCGAGATTTTGGGAAGAAAATTTAAAGGACAGCTTGAGTCTGAACGACTGTCAGGACGATTATGAAATGCAAAAGGATTTTGTATTAAATTTTTCAGAAACTGTTTTGAATATGGGTCAAAAAATGAACTTTGAAGATGTAAAAATTAATTTGGCCGTTCCGTCTGTGGACAGAATTAGGTACGTAATAATGTAATTAATATTAATTAAAGGTGTTTTCTGATATATATATCAAATTCTAGATCGAGAATTAAAAAACATGCGTCGGATTCAGCTCTTGTACAGATAGTACCCCTTTCTTCGCACATGGATAGAAAATCTGTCGCAATGGACTACCTCCCTACGCTTAGAAATATCGCGAAGACAGAGGCCTACAGGTTTACCACTAATTCGAAACGTCGAAATCGTTTTTATCATTATTTGCGCGGTCTCGGATTGGATGTGAACGATATTTGTCTTAAAACCGCCTGTGAAACTTTTAAACAATTATAAAACAAACTAGTAAAAAATTACCTTATGTGAGTAGTCAAAAAAAATTAATTTAACTGTATTGTACTATTATTATTATTTT